AACAACAAGTATCGCAATATTTTTATTTATTTATTTATATTTATTCAACAACAATTATGGCAATATTTTATTATTTTCCCAAATTCCAGGACGTCACGGATTCCATTTTCGGTAAATTTTAACGATTTTATCATTACTTTCATACATAAAAAATTTGGTAGTAGGCTATATAAAAATGCATAGAAAAGCAAGAAATAAAAGTCCGAAGGCTTTATTAACGGGTAACGACCTTCACGGTCTGATTCCTGAGGTGACATCCTACGCATCTGCATGCCTTACGAATTGCTACCTTTTTCTATTGCGCGAGAATAACTACATATAAACAAATTGTATTGTATTATGTATATATAATATAATTGTAGTTTTATGCCAGTATAAGAGAGTCGATGTGTTAACGTTGATAATTATATATAATACATGATTTAAATTTACAAAATATTTTTTCATAGAATGATAACTCCACGTAAATCAGACTTAGTAACATCTGATATCAGTTGATGAGAACGAAAGTTATCGTTATGTGTCAACCAAAACAAGACACAAAAAATAGTATAGATAAGTTTCATTTTAGGTCGTGGTCGATGTTTGTTTGTGGGAACTGTAGCTTTGGTAAAATATTTTCCATTTTTGTAAAATTAAACTTAACTTTAGTCGGCGTCTAATAGCAAGTATGCTGATTATAAATAGCACTTTATTGAGAGCAATTAAGCAAGAACGCAATATCTTGCGTTTTAGGTGCAATGTTTATTATTCAACGGTTGTAAGTTGTCACAAACGAAAGTTGATTGATTCATTACATATTCAAACGCATTTCACGCACGTGAGAGACACAGTTTAATGTGTTTATTAACCAAATTCAGTTCATTAGCAGTCATAGATATAGATAGATAGATCCTTTAGAAAATAATTATATAATTTATTACGTAAGTATTGCGGATGTCGATATCGACAGCTAAGCTAAGCTTTGGTAAAGTTGGTTAAAATTTGAACTTAACTAATCATTTATAATCTTAGATTAGCTCGCCTAGCTTTTATTTGTATGTATATATATGTATAACTGTGGAAAGTCTGTGTTTGAATATAGATGCTATATTTCTTTTAACAAAGGTCAGTTGAGTTGATAATCGGTGGGTCCATTTGGATTGCCATGAAATCTGAGCTTCAGATTTCTGTATCTGTTTTGTTATCATTTGTTTTTCTAATATTTTTAACAATCTGTGCCCGATAAACGCTGTTGACTTTTTGGGTCTAAGGCATGCCGGTTTTTCACGATGTTTTAATTCACCGTACGAGCGACTAATGCGCACATAGACAGAAAGTCTATTGGGGCATAGGCGGAGATCAAACCTACGACCTCATTCATGGACGAGAGTCGCACGCCGAAGCCACTAGGCCAACACACATAGCCTCCCACTACCAAATGACTAAAATAGCTTTCTTATTAGAAGTTGAGTGAAAATATATGAGCCTATGCAGGAAGACCCTACTAGTGAATCCAGTTACATCTATATATATATATATATGCGGTGAAACCAGTATAATCGTGTATAACACCTCTTACATAGTCTTAAATATTACGTAAAACAAATATTCTGCGCCGATTAACATTAAATCTAATACGACCTGAATGGCTCAGCGAGTATTGAATTATACCATAATGCCCAAATAACAGCTCCAACTCTCGGAGTGAAGTGAAATGAAATGGTAATATTTGAGTGTCATAATTAGATATTCAGATATTCATTCTCTTAGCCTATATCTCGATCACAAATACACAGCAAACACGACGAGGCAGGATATATTTCGTCCAGCTGACGAGAATTACACACTGCATTTTACTAACAATTCAAGATATTAAAACTAATATAATTTAAAAAACCAGTTTAACCATGAAGGTCTGATATGATCAGACTTTTATGCCTTCTTGTTCTATTTTTGCATCACCCTACCACAGGTCATGAATTCATTGGTTTATCCAATGAATCAGAAAAGACAAGTTAGCTTATGGGTTATGTCAAGTATAATTTTATCATTATAGTAGTAATTTAATTTATTATAATAATCACTAGCCACAGAAGATGTGTTTGGATTCGCAACTAATAAAAAGTAATATATATTTATTTATGGAACAATCAAAAAGATTTTATTAAAATTTTATTTTATGCCCTTAATAAGATAATATGAAAATAATATATATAGGGTACAGTAGTTACAATATTCAGATATCTTCATAATTATAAATGTTAGCAGGTTCTAACTTGTAACTCAAAATACTAATCTACTTAACCTTAATATGTGGACATGTATTTCAATCTAACAGTTATTTCTTTAATCAGGTGTATAGCACCTGACAATTTTTTTATCTACGTAACTATAATAGTTAAAACTTGTGTTTCCATAATGTCTTAAATCTCATTTATCTGTCAAAGAGTAACATCCCACCACAGACAAACATTTACGTATACAATATAAACTGTTAGATAATCTTATCTAATTTGTTAGTGATGTTACAGAAGCATACTTACAAACGTATTGGACTTTAAATTCATTATGCAATTGGGATTATGTATTGAAATTTTCTTTTTTTACATACAATTTTAAAAGGACTAAAGAATGTAGAAAGAAATAATGTGTGAGATATAATTATATTATAAGTTTATTATGACAGAAAGCATAATTGTTATTCTTTGGGGGCATGTAAGTGCTAACATGCCCCCAAATAATAGTCATTACTGTGGTGCACACCCACCAAGACCAGCAGGCATAATGCAAAGGCACTACCTACCTTTTCTTAAAGTGGATTGTTGGTTTTTTATTTATCTTCAATACTTTATGATACAAGAAAATATAAGTGACAATATTAGTTGGTAATATTTAATTACTTTTACTACATTATAACAATTTACAACCAATTATCTGCAGTGGAAGATATTTAAACCTTCAATAATCATCACCAATGTAAGTTAAAAGACTTCAAGTTAAAATACAAACTTGATAATCCAGTATTAAAATTGCTTTTTGTCACTATATGCGTAAAGGTGATTTATGAAACATTCAAACTTATTTTCCATATTATTATATGCATTCAAATCGTACAACTATTATTCTTACTATAGTTAACCAGCAAGTAATAAAAAAATATAATTGAAGATCAAACATTGCATAAATGATTCATATTTCGATTATATTCTGTGGTCAAAGGTTATAATTTATGTATATATATATATTTAATAAAAATTTCTCGTTCTTCATATAAATATGAATTAATAACAACATAAACTCAGAGAACAAAAAAAAAGATTTTGGACTTATTAGACCAAATAATTATAGGGTTTCATCTAAAATATTTCCATATTATTTATATATGAAAACAAGATGATAGCCTCCCACTAGCAAATAAAATATATAAGAAACAACCTTCACTAACAACAAAGGTTAAGTAAGTGGGTTAAGGTTTAAGACTTTGAGAGATGATAAAACACTTTATTTAAAAAGTAAAGTAATGTGGGTAGTCTAATAATTTTTCTTAAACAAATTTAGTTTTGTCTCAGCTTTTAAAATTTGTGTTTATTACTTATGTTATAGTAACATAATATAATGTTTAGTATATATGTAGGTTTTGGAGTAAGAATGGTAAATAAAATCTGTTTTTCCATTTGGAGGAATTATTAATAATTAGCAATGACAGTGTTAATTAATAAATAAAGAAATAGCAAATAAAGGTCATGTCACATGGAACAACATAAGTGACAATGACCCATTTATTTAATGTACTTTCTTTATGTGTAAATATAAATAAATGTTAAGGATAGTACATTACAAGGCATTCAAAAGATAGTTTTTCCTATTGTAAGTTGTTTAAGAATTAGTATTATAAACAACAGATTTATTTTCTTAATAACAATAATATTATACAAAGCAGTACATACCTGAACGAGCAAGTCTACGGCCAACTAAAGGGCTGTCCAGAAGCAATCGTCGGAGGGACCATCTCCCAAAGACCCCGCTTCCCCAACCACATCCTCCTCCGCCACGGCGCATACCTTCGCGTTCCACCATTATGACAAACTCATGCACATCACACTTACACTTAAAGAATTCTTAGCGGACACTGTTTGTGAATTATCATTAGTGATTCAAAGGCTTGTCCCCTTTACACAACCGTGTTAAGTAACAACCCACTCTCAACGCATCGGAGAGAAAGTATTGCAGACGACTGCTCAGAGCCGCGAAGTCAGATGCTGTTATTACTGGTACATCATTATGATTTTTTGCAAAATGCCGATTTGAAATAACCCACAACCGTGATCAACTGCAACCTATTCCTCTTAAAATTAGTAAGACTCGAACAAGTAACTGGAACGTTGCAAAAAATGCATTTTTATGCTACAGATTTCACAATACAAGCGCAACACAACGCAACAAGGCATAAAACTCTACTGTCAAAGGGAATCTATTTGTTTTAAAAAACCATTGTCCACTTATATGTTACTGTCAACGTCAATCTCTCGAGTTACCTCCCAAAACAAAATTTGTACTGTATACGTTTAAGCCAATAAAATAGTATAAGGTAATATGCACTGTGACTGTACCCTTTATTATCTGTCTCGTGTATGTTCCTTAGATAGACCTTAATCCACAGTCTACAGATTACTTATTAATAGTTTATCTAATACTCTAATAGTAATATCTAATCTATGGTTGAAGTGATGTATACTATATATGATTGGCCTAAAGGTCTAGATACCAGACCCATAAACTCCAAAAAAAAAACTATATAATAATATGAGAAAGTAAAGTGGGCTATTTGTAGATTAGTTGTTACTTGTTTTTAAATTTATTATTTAATAAATGCATTTTACATTTAAATTGTACTAGTGCAATCTTGTAAAAAAAGTCTACTCTATGCTGTATATTTTCTGTTTTTATGTTATATGAATATTTTACACTTTACATTATATACATATTTGAACCGTTTAAAAACTACATCTAAAGAAAAAATGTTTTTACATAGACTTTTTGTTTTTGTAGTCGTAGCGGTATTGTTTCATGTTGTTTTTTGTGAAAATAAGTATTCTCAGTCGGCCAATATCAAAGATGAGAAAGATATAGATTTTAGAAAATTAGACAAACCTTTTAGAATGAATAAACTCAATCTTCTTTGGGTTAAAGCTCAACAGGTAATATTATGCTAATATACCTATTTTCATCTATTTTTATTGTCCTCTTTTTTAATTGTATCTGATATATTATAGCGCTTAACACTGCCTAAGTTAAAGTCATTGTATAGTGACTTGATGATCCAAGACAAACAAGAAATAACATATAAAAGAGTGAGAAGTGAAGGTGGAGATAAGGAAGGACTTAAAGAAACTGAGTTAAGAAGGAAACTTACATCTATTATGAATAATTATGGCCTTAGGGAACACTTTGAAGATAATTCTGTAAGACGGATGAAACAGGATACGGTACTAAATTAAGTTATCTTCTAAAGCCCTTTTCTGTATACAGGATACAAATTTTCAATTCAGACATTTCTTTAATTATTCATTTATAAAGTAGAGTTCTAGTGTTAATGAACCTTGGGTTCTTTGATATAAAAAGTGATAACAATACATGTAATAATAGCTATAATTATGTGCTGTAAATGTAACAATTTTCATTTCTTGTATATTTTTTTATTTTATTTCATTAAGCTATTACTAGAGTGCCATCATTTATGTACATTTGTGATAGGATATAATAATTGTGAACATTTCTTTTAACCATATAGATTTTTTAGTTATTCCTCAAAACCTTAAAATCCAGTATAAACATCCTTACATATTACAGATGTACAATGAGGCATCAGATAAGTTCATCAACAAAAGTTTATTTAAAGACAAAAAGCTGAATATGTTGTGGGCTAAAGCTGAAGCTTCAGGCTTTACCAGTGAGGAACTTGCAGCTCTAAAAGAAGAATTCAGTCATCATCAGGAGAAAATTGATCAATACTATGATCTATTAGTTAATATGGAAGCAGGAGAAAAAGATGGTTATAAAAGTAAATGTTATTTTAGTCAATTTTATTAAATACATTTTTTGTCATTAGAACCATTAAAATAAATAAAATAAGTAATTTTTGGGTTGTCAAGACTATTTTAAGGTATTAAAATGATGACAATGAGAATAAAGAGATATGTTCATTATATGACTATATTAATCTTCATTAATCTCATGATGGATTCTATTTCAGATGCTGTCAACGATGAGGAACTAGACAAGTTTAATGAAATCAACTATGTAGAAGATAATGGAGAGAATTTGACAAAAGATTTTGTTGACAAAGCTAATCTTGTGAGAGAGAAGCACAGAGGTCTTCGAGATGGATTTGACAGATTGGACCGGATTGCAGCTCGAGGTATATAATCATACACAACTGCTATGATTTATTTGATAGAATTGTTTAAATGGCTAAAATATATATAGTGCTCCTGAAGGAATTGTGCATGTTGTAGTAGGGAGTTATCTTTGTATGGAAAGAACATTGAATGGACAAAACAATGGCAATGGCAGAACAACCTAACTCATTTCGACATCAAATATGTACTAGAAATTCTTTAATTATGCATATTTGTATCATCTCAAATCCTAACATATTAACTTACTATATTATTATCAGAAAAATTATGTGACTCTTTTTAGGACCATCAAACAAAGAGTTCATTGAACCAAAAGTGCAAGGGTTGTGGAAGTTGGCAGCAGTGGCGAATTTTACTGTAGATGAGTTAGCTTCTTTAAAGGTATTTATAATATAAACATATCATTTGCCTTTTCCATAAGCCATATTTCACACTATGTTTATAAACAAGACACCAACTTAATTGCATGTCAGAAATCACAATATACCATTTTAAGTACTTATTAAAACTCTAATATTATTATAGGTGGAATTACAGCATTACGAGTCTCGACTTCTGAAGCTCCGCACGTTGCATGCAGACCAAGTAAGCAAACTCGACAAACATCATTCTAAGGTTATTGTTTTTTTTTGTTTAGCTTTTGGGACTTGACGAGATAAAAATTTACTCCCTTATTCATAACTACTAAATCAGGCTAATTAGATTAGAGCTAAAAGTGGTTTAATTAAAACAGCACAATTAGACTTGATTTATGTTTTGCTTACCAAACTAATTATATATCTATGGGTTTACTAATGTAGTATCTGTTTAAGGAATTTGAGATGTGTCTTGTACCTTTAAATTGTCACTGTAGAATGATAACCTGTCAAAAAACTATTTATTTTTTATTCTACGACTCTTATGTCATTTAACTGGTATAAGCATAGTAAGGACTTATGTTATTAATAAATAAGTCCTTTTTACCATCTAAAACTATGTACAAAAACAATAATATTTTAACGGACATACGAGGTTATCATTCTACAGCGACGAAATTGATTTCGGTTGTTTTGATTAATAAAAAATTGTTATTATGCCTTTCTAGAAAATTTAGATACTTATTTATTACAATAGGATGCGCTGTCGGGCATTGGGAATTTTGGTTTTGTAATTTTTCCAAATTCCCTTTTACGAAGGTCCCTTCTAAATCAAGATACCTTAAAAAGTGCTTCAGTAGTTTAATATTAATAACATTGTTTCATTTTTGCTCATGAAACAAGTAGTACTCTTATTCGAATAATTCTCTTTTATTCATATATTGTTTCCAACTTCAACGCATAGTATGTTTAATACACCATATTTTAACCTTACTCCTCCCTACACTCGCTCGGCTCGTTAGAATATATGTATTTTAATGTAGTTTTCAATCCTTTTTTATCATAGGTAGCCGCAGCGGGCGATAAGATGGACCATTTCGCAGACCAGCAACAGATCATCAAGAAGCACTCGAGAAAAGTTGAGAAGATGCACGCGGACCTCGAAGGCAGGATCATGGCGAGACATACGGAATTGTAGACTGGATACTTATGTATAGGCTATTAAGGCCGGTTAATATTTTTAGAAGTTTTGTTCTTTTATCTATTTTTTATTTAGAATTATTTCTATTGTATGATTAAGATTAATAAGATGTTGAGCCAAATTATTTTTGTAATCTTAAGTGAACTAATATTGTGGAAGACAAAAATTTCCTCCCAACTTATATTCAGTGCATTTATATTTTAATATGTGATCATTAAACTTAGCAACTGTAATATGTTGAATCTCTAATAAATATAAACTTTGTTAACTTTTTTTCTATCCATAAATTTTCCTGTACTACAGTTAATAGGTGTAAGATCATATTTGCAATGAAATTTCATAATAAAACTATTTAAAATTAGTTTCTTCTGTGGGTCTCCCTATACGAGTAAATGGCTCACCAGATTCAAGAACTACTAGAAGAATAATTCTTCTTATTGTTATGATCTCATCAGTTAACCCTTTAGTTGTGTTAGGGTATTATAAATAAGAGTGCTATTTCTTAATATATTTTATTATTTATATAACTATAGAAAATGATGAGTCTGCATAACTATAGACAAGGCAACATGAGGCGATCTCTTGTATCAAGGCAGTGAATATTCAACTAGGTAAAGGTTACCGCGCCAATAAAATATCCAGTCAAATTGCTATACAATACAACTCTCATCTGATTGGTTATAAAATACACGACCGAATTCTAAATTTAAATAAGCTACTCTCATTGGCCGTTACAGGTACTGTAGAGCCATCTACCAAAGCTTCGCGACCTAACAAGCCCTATTCAAGAAGACACTCAATTTATTTGACAACGGTTTATTTGAACTTACCGAAGATCCTGCTAACCATATTCGAGACGTAAGTCTTCGTAATAATTTACTTAAATATACATTTACCCAAACTAAAAGTATTGAAATAAAACCGCAGGTGGCATTAAAAACAGTGGTTACGGTGCATTAATATATGATATTTAATCTTCATGTACAAGCGAATTTGTTACACGTTATGAAAATCCGATCGGCTCGTTTTCCGAATATTATGCCGTAAATAGTAAAATATAGTAAAGGCGCTGGCGGGCCGCTGGGCGAACAGAATTACATTCGGTTCGGCGTTAGACTGCGCAGCTACTAGCTAGTCGCGCTAATGGCGCCGAGTAACAACTATAATAATAATTTGTCTAAATGGCGGACGCTCACCATATATTCTGTATATATCTTTCTCGCTAATATCTACAACGTTGTTACGTTCACGCGGGTACGAGTGGGGGCACGTGCTAGTGATTCCACTTACTCCACGTTTGCTGGAACAAAAGTACATCATTTAGTATCAAAAAATGTTTATATTAAAATTTATCATTGTTTTCATGTATATTGTGCACATGTTTTGTGTTTTTGAGTGTAATGGTGTGTGAGTGGGCTTTACAGTTAGACATAGACATATCATTTATTACAAAAATTCATAAAGAGTTATAAGCGAGTTTCTAACGAATAGAATATCCTTTAACACGTTTCTATAGTTTTGAAATCAAGAGTAGCATAGTACTACTCGTAACGTTTCCAGTGAAATCATGAAAAATACATTGTCAGTTGACCCGGTCGCTTTTCTAATATGAAGCGTGGAACTATCACACTGGTATTTGCATATAATAATCTTAATAAGGGTTTTATTTTTGACGGCTTCTACTATTGTGAAGGTGAATTTTTTGTTGCTATTTTGCTATTTGATACAATTATTTATTTGCTAGGCCGCCTCCATTGATGCTAGGTGTCAAATGGGTAAACCCCATTTCACCTAAAATAACTTTATGGCTAATAACAAAACTACTTATAACCCTCAACAGAACTAATCTCAAAATAAGATAGGGACAATTACGGGCCACTGTCTCCTTAATAAACATCTTTTTGTCTTAGGCGCGACAGACAATCACCCACGTAGTCCTGGAATGCGTGGCTGTGGCTAAACAAAGTACAGAAATCCTCGGAGCAGTGAGGTCGCTCCGTGAAGCCTGCTAAGTGGTCAGGAGACTTCTGTGCTTCTAGAAGGAGCTAGGCTTACCCCTAAGCCTAATGAGGGTCTAAGTGCGGAAAATGAATCCACAAACCATTACCGCCTCCATTATTATTATTCTTTTATTTTAAGCCATTTTAGTGTGCATAATATACTATTTATAAAATATAATAATAATGGCAAGCGGCCGGATGGAATGTCTTGATTTGGAAAATGGGACGGGCTTGTATGGGATCTACCTGTTAGACACCTTTGCCCCGTCTCATCTCCTTCGGACAAGCAAAAGCTCGCGGCCGAACAGGCAGAAATTAACAAACGGCACAAATATAAGAGTCTTTCCTCCAACTTCAATTGTTCCCTTTGGAGGACTCTTGGGCCGTGGGGTTCAAGTGAGGCGCTTATTAAAGATTTAAGTTGGCGCCTGGTAGATAGTACGTACCACAGAGCTGGCACTTTCCTGGCTCAAAGAATAAGTCTCGCAATACAGGGAGGAAATGCTGCCAGCGTTAAAGGTACACTGCCACCCGGGGCCAAACTTTTTAAATTTGTTTTGATTTTCTTCTTTCTTCTTTAATTATTTTTATTATTACTTTATAGGTTAAGAACATTGTAAATACTGTATTTGTGTAAATAATAAATAAATATAATAATAATAAGATATAAATAACGTCTAATGAAACTTATTCTATCGGTGGTCTAATTGGTATTACAGGCTTTTAAATTATTTACTATTCTTTTTTTTAAGGTAACAAAAGATTCCATTGATTGATCTTGATATGTTATGAGCGTTAGTATGTAGGGGTCTGTTATTTTCGATAGATTTTGACCTAGACATCTTAACACACAATCATGAAATAAAATTACACATGTGAATTTATTTTGCTCAATTTTATTTCTAAATCAAAGAGTAAATGAGAATTATCGATTTTGAAGCATCGTTATATTGTTTTTTTTTTAAATTACGATCTAGCCTATGACCTTTTAAATGATATAATGCCTAACCGGTTTGTCGTTGTTGTGTTGCGGGGGGCGTTCCCAATGCGGATGTTCGGGCGGAACGTAGTGCAGGGGCAGAGCTTGCATCAGCGAAAACGCCGCCGTGGTGGCGCCGCCGTACGCCTCGCCCACTACGCCCACGCTACCTACGCTTCCCACGCCGCTCATTCCGCTCACGCCTTGTTGCTGCAAAGTCAATAATAATACTAATTGTACTACTTGATCGAGTAAACGATTTAAACAACAAATTGCTTAGTTTACATCTTCTAAAATCTATAGAGAAAGTAATTTAATATATCACTAATTAAATAAATCTTTGTTTTTTTTATACTACTTCGTGCATGTATTTTTATATTAAATGTTTAGATTATATACGTCGTCTAGGTTGTCTAAAAATAACTAATTTTAGCAGTAAAACCTATTTTGTGATATTGTTTGTGGTTATTATTAAACCTTAATGTATCCTAATTAACGAAACCCTCAATTCTTATATTCCAAATAGCTTAATTTACTACTAATTCTAATAATCTCTAAATATAATAACATAAAAGAATAGTAGTTTCTAATTTAGGTCTAGACAATTGTTATACACAAAAATATCTGCCTCACCTGGTATCTGTCGTGGTCCGTGCGGTGGTGCCAGTCTTCTCCGGCAGTGAGCTTCCAGGCGCGTTCGGTGCCTATGGGCCTGGGCTTACGCTCTTCCTCTTCCGCCCAAGACACGCCCATACCCACGCCCACTGAGTTCACGCCGACACCACGTTCCAGCAGGGACTATATAATGATTAGATTAATTTTCCTCGATATTTTAATAAGTTTATCTACACTAATATTATGAAGATTTGTTGTATTGAATAAGTTCATACTGAACCGATTCAAAAAATTTCTCATCATCCAAGACAAATATTGCAAGAGCGGGATATATTATTCCTTTTATCAGCTTTCCTATGATTGACCAAGCTAACCAGGGATCGATCTGAGGCGCTAAAGGTGTGATTAGACACTTTATTTTTGTGCTGAACGACCCTGTGAACCACCTACTACTACGAATTAAAGTGAATGAAACAGTATGGCACAGCTAATAGAGTATACATTTGCATAACTTTTAGTAGATCTGTTCCTATTGTTTCTTGGTATATCAACAATACAGACTATACTCAAGACTACAGATCACACAGTACACAATTCCAATGCAACAACAAAGTTATTCGTATATTATATTTACCTAATATTAACAACAGAATGAGCATAAGACACATAGGCTGAGCTAGATAAACAAAATAAAACGAATCTTTTCAACTCTAGAAGCACCCAAATGTTTTAATCATGACATAAATATTGAAATACCTGGTAAGGATGTTGCTGTTGCGGCTGCGGCTGCGGTTGCTGCTGCTGCTGATGTTGGGGATGTTGCTGATGCTGCTGGTGTTGCTGGTACGACATCAGCAACGAGCTCAGGTTGCCGGCGTTACTTGCACTCGCGAATAGTTGCTGAAATATATTTAATAATAATATATGTAAAAAAAATCGGTCCAACAATAAATGAATGGAAACATTTGAATAACAACAGAAGACTTTGCGTTTACCCTCGTCTCTGAATCTTACCCAAAGTCATTCGCTGACTATGTACGACTAACTAAATAATGTTTTATTTAAATTTTAAATATATAGTTCAATATAATATATATGTTTGAATTGAACTTATCCTTAAGTAAGATACAATAAAATAGTAGAATGGAGTTTACTATTGGTAAAAAAAATGTATATAAAGGCAAAAACAAAAAAATTACGTTTCCATTCCATAAGAGTGGAAAAAGGTACGTACCTGAGCGGCGTGTTTGTGCTGATGCTGCAGCAGAGGGTGACGTTGGGCAAAGTCAGGCGCTCGTGGGTTAAGTCGGGATACGTTTTCAACCCCCACGCCTACGCTACCCACGCTGCCCACATTGCCCACGTTGCCCACATTTACGTAACCGAGGCCAACGCCGCTCGAC